ACCTCTTCCCTTGCTCCGTACCCCACCCAACCTCTGCCCTCCCTCCTCCTTCCGTCTGCCCTCCCTCCTCCTTCCGTCTGCCCTCCCTCCTCCTTCCATCTGCCCTCCCTCCGCCCGACTTCACCCTGTCGTCTTTCCCCTTCCTCCTGGCCTCCGTCCACTTCCTCCTCTTCCTCTTCACGCTTTTTCCCATGCTCGTCTCCGCCTTACCTCATCCCTTCCTCCATACATCACTCAACTTCTGAACTACGTTCTGCTTTCTGTCCTCCCTTCACCCTACTTCTTCCTGCCGCCTCCCTTTTCTCCCGGCCTCCTCTGGCCACCTGACTCCCCTTCCTTCACCCAATCTCCGCCTGACCTCCTTCCCTCTATCTCCTCCGTCCTACTCCTTCCTCCGCCTGATTTGCACTGACCTCCTCCTTCCCCCAATCTCCTTCCTCCCCTTCCTTCCTTCCTTGGCCCGATCTCCACCTGACCTCCTGCTTCCGCCCTACTCTCTCCCGCCTTTCCCCTGCCTACAGGCCTCCTCAGCACCTTCTCTTCAACCTCCCTCCGGCCTCCGTCCGCCTGGCCGTGTCATTCCCCTTCACTCGCCCCCTTCGTTCGCCTGATCTCTGTCTGACCTCCTCCTTCCCTCGATCTCCTCCCTCCCCTTCCTTCCTCAGCCCGATCACCACATGACCTCCTACTTCCATTCCTCCCTCCGTCCTACTCCCTACCTCCCCCTTCCTCCCTGGACCGGCTGCCCTTCCTTCGTAACGCCCGACGTAAGAAATACTTTTAAGATCGCTCCATTTCTTTTAAGATCTCAACCCTGTTGCACACGTGCAAGAAGGAGAGAGGGAAAGCAGGAGAGAGAAAAACGCATTTCATCCAACACACTTCCTTCCTCGCACCTTCTTTGTCCTTGTCTGTTTCTTCCACCACCACGTTTTCTGCCTCCTCAAGATCTTCATCCTCAACATTCGCCCTCGGTCTTTTCTTTTTGGAGCGGCCTTATGATTAACTGCCC